TTCTCCCCGGGCCTGCTTGAGTACTCCGGGTACTCCGGTTTCCTCCCACATTCCAAAAACATGCATGGCAGGCTGATTGAACACTCAAAATTGTCCCTAGGTGTGAGGATGGTTGTTCGTCTCTGTGTGCCCTGCGATTGGCTGGCAACCAGTTCAGGGTGTCCCCCGCCTACTGCCCGAATATGGCTGGGATCGGCTCCAGCACCCCCCTCCACCCTTGTGAGGATAAAGCGGATCGGAAAATGGATGGATGGATGGATATATGTAACGCATGTAACGCTTGAAGATGAGCGAACAACAATCATTTCCACACGAGACAGAATTCCTCACGATTGTCATATATGTGAGTTTTTTTTAAGTACCATTAACGACCATGCACTGTAGTATATACTCCTTTTGTAGTGGACGCTAATTGGAGTTGCTACATTAAAATGTGACAAAGTGATACTTGCGCAGTTTTGTTTTTATGTTGGATTTATTACTTGTTGCACACATTTTCAGTTACAGTATATTGTTAGTGTTATTTGGGAATTTGTGTCCAAAACTTGCCATGATGATTCTCTCACAATGATGAATTTGTTGTGAAAGTGTAACTACATGTTTGTGTGTGTGTGTGTGTGTGTGTGTGTGTGTGTGTGTGTGTGTGTGTGTGTGTGTGTGTGTGTGTTGGGTCATTGTCTTTGCTGTGTCCAGGCTTGCGTGTGTACAAAGCTTTTCAGTCACCCTGGGCAAACAGCCTCCTTTCGTTTCCCCCATTTTCCTGCTCTCTTCCTCCCCCTCCACCCCCAGCCTCTTCATTCCGTTGACATCTGTTTTGAGTGCTCCGTGCACCTGTAGACTGTGGAAGCGTTCGTGTGTGTGTGTGTGTGTGTGTGTGTGTGTGTGTGTGTGTGTGTGTGTGTGTGTGTGTGTGTGTGTGTGTGTGTGTGTGTGTCCGAGGAAGGGGATAAAGGGAGGTGCAGAATGCAAATCCAGGCGTTTGTTCAGGGACTAAGCAACGCAGACCGGCTGACTAACGACCATTTGGTGTGTGTGTGTGTGTGTGTGTGTGTGTGTGTGTGTGTGTGTGTGTGTGTGTGTGTGTGTGTGTACGTGTGTGTGTGTACGTGTATGTGTATGTGTTTGCCTCTTGCTGTCCCGGCCAGGCAGGTCTATTGTTGCAGCAGCAACAGGCGTCGGTGTATGAGGATGCACCATATGGCCTCTGTGTGCTTTAGTCACAACTGCTGTGTACTTGTGCATGTTTGTGTGTGTGTGTGTTCATGTACTGAACCAATGCCATCTCAGTATGGTGGACTTGCTTGCTGCAAGCTGCTCCCTTTTGTGTCATCTGTTGTCTCATTTCTTGACACGAGGACAAAATCTGGCATCCAGACTTTTTTCTTTTTCAAAGAGGTGAGATATAGTCTGCCTTACTGGCAAATCATTCATAATCCTTCACATTAGCACACATCAACAGGTGATCCTGCAAATGTGGGAATAAACTGTTGTTTCAGGATAAAAAGGGGTCCCTGGTGCCCACTTCATAATTTTTATTGAAAACACTTAACCTAAACCCAAAGCAGCTGTAATTCCAGGATCACAATGACACAATTTACTCCAAAATATTATGATCTTGATGCTAGTTTCCAGGAAGGGTCCACTTCTTAAATATAGTGTACCGTCAATGTGATCCCTGATCGTCAGACAGTCTGTGTGGAG